TCTAACTCCCTTTTGCACTGGAAAGGAGTCTGTCCTGATTCCTGAAGAATTCACCCGGACCGAGGCAGATGTATTAGAATAAAGAGCCATAATCAATCCCAGAAGTCTGCGGTCAATATTGGTGTTCAATAACTTTCCCCCCAATCTACGACGAGAGATAGAGTCGAAGGCCGCCCTCAAATCCATAAAGGCCGCATAGAGACAACCTCTTGGGCGCAAGGAATAATTGCCAGCGAGATGGAGAAGCGTCAGACAATTGTCTGTAGTTGCAACACTATGTCGGAAGCCACACTGTTCAGGGAAAAGGAACCTCTCTTCATCGAGCCAGTTCTGGAGTCTCTCCTGGAGGAGTGCAGAGTAAATCTTCCCAGGGATGGCAATAAGGCTGATCGGTCTATAATTACCCGGGTCGTTGGCATCCCCACCTTTATGGATAGGTACCACAGTAGCCTTCTTCCAAATACCGGGGATATTAGCTGATTGGTTGATGTCTGAAAACAGATGGGCCAAGCGAAGCGCCCACCATTCGGGGTTCACCAGAAATAGTTCTAAAGGTATAAAATCCGGGCCCACTGCTTTGCCACGCTTCATCCGATTGACACGTTGTAGTACTGACTCTGGAGAAAAACTGGCAATTTACCAACTACACTGGTTGCTAATTTGGTTCCAAGTTGAATTCAGAATGCTGGCATAGGCCACTAAAGCCCTGAATGGCCTGGGTCTGGAATAATTGAAAGGATTTTCTGAGTTTCTTGTACCTGTTAGGAGTTTTTCTAGCTTAAAGAACAATATAATTTTGAATTTCAGTCTTTTTTCTTAGAACGTTTGCAGAGCAAAAGGTTTGGCAAAACATTACTCCCCCTCCGTGCTGTATTTAAAGTATCTCTCCCCCCCCACCCCAGTTTTTGGGAAGCACTCTCTGTTTCCAGACCTGCTTTGCAGCCTTCCTTGAAATTCTTCCGTGAAACAAACACTTGAATGGGTCAAATGGGGGGAGGTGACTTTAGATATCTGTCTTATCCCACACCGCCCAGTTCCGTTCGGTTGTGTTGAACTTTTTGGACACATAGGCTAGGGGTTGCAACTTCCCATCACCTCCCTGTTGTAAATGGCCTCACCCATAGCGACATCCGACGCATCCACCTGCACCACAAATTTTTAATTTCCATCGGGGTGATTCAGAATGGGCTCGGAAGTGAACAGCTGCTTCAACCTTTTGAACGCCTCTTGGCATTCGTCTGTCCACGTAAGGCGAGCCCCCAGTTTCATCCCATCAGGTCCCTTCCCTTTAATCTTTAGAAGGTCGGTGAGGGGCAGAGAGGGGTGAAATTGGGGATGAAGGGCCTATAAAAATTCGCAAAGGAGGAACAATTGGAGTTGCCTCCAGGTCCTGGGGGGTTCCCACCCCAGTACATCAGCCACCTTGGCTGGGTCTATTTCCAAGCCCCGCCACGAGATGCGGTAGCCCAAGAAATCCATCTTCTCCTTGTGGAACTCACACTTCGACAACTTGGCGAAAAGTTTGTGGTCATAGAGGGTTTGCAGCACCTCTCTCACCAGGGCTACGTGGGAACTCTTATCTTGGGAGTAAATCAAGATATCATCCAAATAAACAAGAGCTCCCTTGAATAGGTGCTTGTGCAACACTTCAAGTTCATGAAAACCCCGGGCGCCCCTTGCAACCCAAATGACATCACCAGGTATTCGAATTGCCCCATTGGGGTATTGAATGCAGTCTTATGTTCATCCCCTTCCCTTATACGTACCCAAAACTAAGCATCCCGAAGATCTAATATCATAAAGATCTTCCCCATAGCTGCCTCCGCCAGCAAGTCTTTGATCAATGGGAGGGGGTAGGCATTTGAGGCAGACACTGCATTCAGCTCTCTGTAATCTGTACAAAGGCGCAGTCCTCTGTCTTTCTTTTTCCAGAACAAGACGGGGGCCGCAAATGAGGATGAAGCGGGGCGTATGAAACCACGAGCCATGTTCTTATCAATGAACATTCGGAGCTCCTCTTTCTCCACTAAGCTCATGGAGTACAATTTCCCTTTAGGCATTTTATGACCCAGTAATATTTTGATCGCACAATCCGTGTTCCGGTGGGGGTGGGGAGTTCATCCGCCTCTCTTCAAACACCCTCGCGAAGTCCCGATACTCTTTAGCGATGGAGTTGTGCTCCTCTTGGGCGAGGCATGCTAGCTCCCGAGTGGCTTTGGGTTCCTCCCCCCACCTGTGGTCCCACCCGTGATGGGCGCATCCCTTGGCAGTGAAATACACAGTCCCCTGGCTCCAGGAAGTGTCCAGATCATCGTCCCGGAGCCAGAGGTGCCCTAACACTAGGGAGAACCGAACCATGGGGGTGATTACAAATGTTCTTGTCTCCCAATGGAATCCTGCACCCATCACTATGGGCATTGTTGGGTACTTGCAGGGCTCTCACATAGGGGACTCGTCCATCTGGGTAAATATCTAGGGTTCTGAGAGCCTCTGAGTGGCCACCCCCAGACCGGTAACGATGGATGGGCTAATAATGTTGCGGGCACAGCCTGAGTCTGTCAGAGCCCGAACTCGCACTTGAGTGCCCAGTTCAGGGTTGACCAGTGTCACAATCACAAAGAATAAGGGAGGGGGGTTGTTGACCGCTTTTTGCGCCGTCTTTGGGGGGCCCTGCTTGCTCGCACCATTCACAGCAGGTCTTGGCCTTTTCCTGCCAGCTGAGGTGCTTCTTCCTCACTGGAGGAGGACCCAGTTGCTGCGGTCCCCATCTGCAAAGCACGAGGTTGCTTGGGTCGCACTCCATCTCCTTTCTTTGGCTCTGCTCCGGGGTTCTTCTTCTCTGGTCCCCTCGTTCCACCTTGCAGGGTTGTCGCAGGGCAGGAGGCGGCATAGTGGCCGTGCTCCTCACATCGGAGACGCAACCGCAAGCATAGGTGTTACTCATGGGCTGGTTCCTTGGGCTTCGGGCGAGGGTTCTTCAAGGGGCCTCCAATCTGCTTACTCACGCTTTGGACCCCTAACGCCTTCATCATCTGGAACCGGCTCTCTGCCTCCTCAGGTTCGTGCACCCATGCAGTCAGGGTCGCCGGGTTTGTGTTCCGGAGCACTACCTCCAGGATTTGCCTATTTAGCCCTATCCGGTACTGCTCCACCAACACAGTCTCAGGCCATCCTTGGGTCTTGGAGGTGTACCTTTTGAACTCCTTGGAGTATTCGCACACAGATCGGCCCCCCTGCTTTAGTGCCAGAATGTGGTTGCGGACTTTCTCGATCCCCTTGGGGTCTTCGTACTGCCATCTCATAGCCCACATGAAGGCTTGGATGTCCCTCAGTTCAGGGCTTTGCACGTTGTTCAGTGCCACAGACCAATCAGCCACTTACTTGCGCAGCTTTCCGCCGATGTAGTCTACGCGATGCTCATCAGGTGGCCCCAATCTCTCAGAAACTTTCTCACCTGCAGGGTAAAGAATGCCAGCTTGTCGGGGTCCTTGTCACACGTGGTGTCCCCATCATATGTGGCGTCCAGCAGCTCCTTCAGGCACTTGAGGCTCGGCACTGGGGCAGGCGCCGGTGCTGGCAGTGGGGCCGCCGGGGGTCCCGCAGGTGGTGCCAGTGTTAGTTGCACCAGACCAGCGGGTGGTCTGGCTGAGGCATGTTGACCTCCCGCCCCAGGGCATGCAGCCCCATCTCATCCTGCAGTGTGGTTGTGACCAGCTGCGGCAGCGCCATCAGGGCTTTGAGCAGTTCTTGGCACAGCTCCTCTGGCTTGGACAGCAGCATCAGTGGCATCTGCTCCAGCCGGTCCTCTCCAGGTTCTCTCGCAGCCACCATCTGCGGTGGCCCCGCCTCGAACCTCCTAACCCCGGTCGCCATCCTGGGTCAAGCTGGGTTGCTCCACGATTCACAGGGCTCCTCTGAGAACCGCGCCCAGGCATAGGGATCAGGGCCGCGCCAGAATCGGCTCAGGAGCACCGCTTCCGGGGGGGCCGCCCCCTGTGGCCCCCATCATCGTGACAGGCTTCGTAGTTGTCACCGGGTCTTCCTCACCAGCCGTGGCAGGCATGGTTCCCTCTTCTTCGCCTTCCACCGTAGGGTGCGAATTCAGGAACCACAGTGAGTCTTAACACTCTGTCAGACTCCTGCAAGAATCAGAACCAACAACTTGCTTCTTCAGAAGGAAAGTTTATTGATACAGTATTGGCAGGGCCTCTCTGCTTCCGGTTCTGAAGATTAAGACTAAAGCAAAAGGCACAAGGTGGATGGATATACACAGTTCAAAGGGGTCCCTGGGCGGCATGGAACCCATCAAGGTGAAAAGCAGGGCCTGCCAGAATGTAACAGACCCGCATTCCCAGAGAAGATGTTACAGCTAGGAGCCAAGGTCAGGCGCATAAAACATACAGATAAGAGAGTATCACCAAGACAGCCAGAAAACAGAAACTAAAACATTCCAAGTAGCCCCCCCCCCCCCCGCCCCCCAATACCAGCCTCTATGGCAGCATTAGCCAACATAACCCAGATAAAAATTGTTGTCCTAAGTTCCGATTGTGTAATTCCTGCTCTTCCTGCTTGGGTTGGCAAGGGGAGAACTCGCAGGAGCCCCGCCAGTGGACTGAAGGGGGACTCTGCAAGCACTGGGAAATAAGAGACTGTCGCTTGAACTATGGCCTATACTGTCAAAAGGGTTATATTCTACTTTGCCCCCAGAACAATATCCAGCCGAATCAAGTGACTGCTGTCACAACCAAAAGACACCGTTTTTGCTTTTTAATTAAAAATGTGTTGCTCTGAATTGCACCTTTGTTAGAATCATAGATTCACAGAGTTGGAAGGGGCCATCTAGTCCCACCCCCTGCTCCATGCAGGGTCAGCCTTGAGCATCCCTGACAAGGGTTTGTCCAGATTCTGGCTGCTTAGAGACTGCCAGGGAGGGGGAGCTCACCACCACCTCCCCGGCCAGCCCATTCCACTGCCGATCCAGGAGGACCCAAAAGGAAGGTGGTGAAGTATACTAAACTTAAATACACTTGAAGTGTATCAGCTGCTTTAAAAAAATTTCCACTTGCCCTATTTCCACTTAACATATGTTTCCTGGCCTGGTCACCTGGGGATGCTTATTTGCCACTGGTTAATTAATCAAGTGCCCATTTTCAAGCCAGATTTAACTGCCTCACCATGGTGAAAAAGCAAGAAGAACCAAGAGACTACATTTTGTGGGAAGATATGAGTCTGATAGCAACATGTGTAGAAGGTTTTATGGCTTCTGTAAGGTTTAATGAATCCGATGTACTGCATACTTTACTTGATGTAAATGCATACATTTTAATTTGTGTTGAATTAATGTAGGCCGAGGGGACGTGGATCTGAATGAATCAGACAGTCGCCGAATAATTCGCTACCCAGATAGTCACCAGCTGTTTGTTGGAAACCTCCCACACGACATAGATGAGAATGAACTGAAAGAGTTCTTTATGAGTAAGTTTAAAATCTTTGGTGAAGCTTCTTTGGGTGGGGGAAGGAGGCCAGGAGAGCTGGATCCCTAAACACTGCGATCGCCTCACTTATCCTGCTTTCTGCATTCTGTACATTTTCCCCTCCTGTAGGCTTTGGGAATGTGGTAGAACTTCGCATCAATACTAAAGGTGTTGGAGGGAAACTCCCAAACTTTGGCTTTGTGGTGTTTGATGACTGTGAGCCAGTTCAGAAAATTTTATTGGCGAAAGTAAGTACCCTGCTGTCAGTGAATGATATTGACGAAGATGGAACGGCTTTTAAGGAAGCCCCTAGACTTGTGTTGTGAGGGGGGGCCTTAGGGAAGCCACTTGGTCTCAGCGCCCATCAGTCTTGCAGGGAGAACACTGGCCTGGTGATCGCTGTCAAAGCACTGCACAAAGGCTGCATTTTATATATTTATTTAATTCAGTATTTAAACTGCCCTTCCCTGCAGAACAGGGCTCAGGGTGGTGCGCATCAACACACACACATATGTATATAATAAAATAATACTTAAAATCCCTACCATTACAGCAATAAATACCCTATAACCAATAAGATGGCGATGAAACTGCTAAAAATATGCCACCGCCTTGGGGGGGGGGAAGGCAGGAGAAACAGGAGTGCCAGCTGGGATGATGGAAGCCATTGCTGCCCTCCACCAAATACCTGGTGGAGCATCTCTGCCCTGCATGCCCTGCAGAACTGCCTTAGGTCCCACAGGGCACGGATGCTATTCAGCAGAGAGTTCCACCAGGTCAAAACGCCCCGGCCCTGGTCAAGGACAGCCAGGTGTCTCTTGGGCTGGGGATCACCAGCAAGTTCTTCTCAACCGAGTGTAATGCTTTCTGGGGGGCATACCAGGAGAGGCAGTCCCGAAGGCATGTGGGTCCCTAACAGTTAAGGGCCTTAAAGGTTAGTACCATAACCTTGAACCTGATACCCGGTACTCCACCGGAAGAGCAGTTCACAGAGCAAGGGTTGAATATGTGCCGTATGCAGAGTCCCCGTGAGGACTTGCACTGTCGCATTCTGGGCCAGTTGGAGTTTCCGGGTCACTCTCAAGGGTGGCCCTACTAGAGCGAGTTACAGCAGTCCAATCTGGAGGTGACCGTTGCATGGAGGTTCTGTGGCTAGGTCAGGGCAAGACAGGTAGGGAGCTTCAACGACCTTGGTAAAAGGCAGTTGGTAAAACGCCAGTGTAGCAACATTTGTGGCCTGGCCCTCCATTGATAAGGAGGCATCCAGAACCACACCCAAGCTCTTGGCAGGTGATGCTGGTGTCGAGTGCACACAGTCAGGAGCTGGGAGACGGCACCCCAACCTCGCATCACCCCCTCCCAGCCACAGTCTTTGCAGGATGTAGCCACGCCCACAGCCAGCTCTGCTTCAGCCATCCCACCACAGCCTCCAAACCCTCAGCCGGGTTCACTGGGGTGGGGTGGTGTCTGGCCAGCCGCCCATCCACAGATAGAGCTGGGTGCCATCAGCATACGGGTGACATCCCAGCCCAAAACTCCGCAACAGTTGGGTGATGGGGCACATACAGACGTTAAATAGCATTGGAGAGAGGACTGCCCCCTGAGGAGCCCCACGTACTAACGGGTGCCTAGTTGACAGCCGCTCTCCCAGCGCCACCCTCTGTCCCCAACCTTGGAGGAATGAGGTGAGCCACTTCAAGGCTACCCCACAGACTCCTACATCGGTGAGGAGGTGGGTCAGAATGTCATGGTTGACTGTGTCGGACGCTGCTGCAAGGTCAAGCAACAACAGCAGCGCCGACCAGTCTCGGTCCAGCTGTATGTGGAGATTGTCTGTGAGGGTGGGGCAGAAGCTGGACTGGACTGGGTCCAGAACCAGTGTGCCATCCAGGAATTTTTGGAGCTGTCCTGCTGCTCTCTCAATTACCTTACCCAGGAACGAAAGATTTGAGTGGGTGGCAATTGGAAGGATCCATAGGATCCAAAGCTGGCTTCTTCAAGAGCGATATAATCACAACCTCAATCAATCCCTCTGGGTACACCCCTGAACCCGGGGACAGAGTCATAATTCCAAGGCCTAGCCTGCTATCACCTCCAGCAGGTTTGGTAGGCTGTCAGGCAGACGGTGCACCAGACAGACAGCCAAGCTCTCCTCAGAGTCCCACACCAGACCCACACAATCAGTGCCGGCGATCTTGGGGACGAGGACCGAGATTGCTGCTTGAGGGGGTAGCAGTTAGGCTGCTACCCCCAGGAAGACAGTGAAATGCTAGTTGCCATGTGGTGCACTTAGGAGCAGGGTGATAAGAAGGAGGCGCGGGGTCTTGAGACCTGTGCAGGTTTGGGGATGGAGGAAGGGAATTATCTGAATGGGAACATTGGGTGTGGGAAAGGCATTTTCAGAAGCTCTGAACTCTTAAGAAGACTGTTCCTACATAATGATGGTCTTCAAACTGACACTGGAAGGGAGGCCCCGCTGCCGGTGGCCCCTGGTGTTTCTGGCCCCTGTGTGACACAGAGGGTTGGACTGGAGGGGCCACTGACCTGATCCAGCATTGGCTTCTCTCTTCTGTTATTATGTAATACAGGTCACCTAATTCAGACTGAACTTGGATCATTTGGTCGCAGATAATGGGGAACCTGAGAGGCTGTAGCATCGTTGAAGCGCAGCAGGGATTATTTGCCTTGTGCAGGGGGTTGGACTAGATGACCCTGGAGGTACCTTCCAGCTCTATGATTCTGTGATCAGTGCCTGGGTCAAGGATCTCTGGCACTCCCCACACAAACCACTTTGAGCTATTCTGCTCTGCTAGGAAAGATATACACCGTTTTAATTTTGAAAGACATACTTCCACATCAGACCCATGGACTGTCTTGCCTGATTGGCGTGGCTCTCCAGGGTCTGGAGCCAGAAAACTTGCCTTTCACAGCCATGCGGCTGGAGACGTTTCCTGTCAGATGTGGCTTGTGTGCTGCTGCTCCTGGGCTATGGCTTCTCCCTCTTGTTTTAGGACTATCTTGTATCAAGTAACCCTTTTATTATGTGGTCTTCGTCTAGCTAGCTCTCCTCATCAGTGTTTTTGTTTCCCTCCCTCCAAGCCCATCATGTTCCGTGGTGAAGTGCGCTTGAATGTAGAAGAGAAGAAGACCCGAGCTGCCCGTGAGAGGGAGACGCGAGGTGGTGGTGGTGGTGATGACCGCAGAGAGATGCGCCGCAACGACCGAGGGCCCGGGGGTCCCCGTGGAATAGTGGGTGGAGGAATGATGCGAGATCGTGATGGGAGAGGGCCGCTCCCGAGGGGCAGCCTGGCCCAGAAACTGGGCTCTGGAAGAGGGTCTGGGCAGGTGGAAGGCCGATACACAGGTCAACGTCGCTGAGGAATCCACTGTTGGCAGGCGGCCTTCGCAGTGATGCGTTATTCGTCGTGTTTGCATTCTTGTTAATTTTTGGCTTTGGAATGTAACACAGCCTTTTTGATCATTTCTTTTGATGTGAGAAACCTCTTTGGGTTACCAGTAAAATTGAGGTGGACATTCTTTTCCCCAGTTTCACAAAGAAGTCACACTGTTAATTTATAAATTTAGACTTGCGATTAAAGACTGAGAAATGACCGTTTAAACTTTCTGCAACAAAAATGGACTTGAAGGGCATGCCCAATTGAGTTAAGACCTTTTCAGTACCTTTCAGTTTTAGTAAAAAGCAAAACCCCTTTGCGGCACATTTTAAGTGTTCCTGTTTCTGCCTCTTGCTGTTGGAAACACAAATCGGAGAAGCTCGCCTCCCCCCCCCCTCAGAACACTTGGCTCCAAACCAACTTGTGTTTTTTATGAACTCAAATGCACGAATGGGTACGTGACTCACTTTTTGTTGACATTTGTCAAAAGCAGCAAGAAAAAAATAGCTAGTGACATGATGCGGGCGTCTGCTCTGCTTGCTGTGACCAATCTGTGTGTGCAAACAGCCTTCAGTGAGACTCCAAGTATGTTCCGGAAGGAAACCATTTAACTGTAAATGCAAAAGTAGCACTTCAGAAACCGTACCCCGTTCCCTTCTCCGTGAGCCGTGTACAGTGAGGGAGGGTCTTGGATGAAGCATGATGGTGCCTTCTGTTCAATACGTTGTTCCAGAGTCCTGCTGGTGGGTTCTGTACAGAGTAGGGTCTGACTGGCTGTGCTGTAAAATCTTAACAGCTGTAAAAATGTTTATAGAATCATTGTATAAAAAATGCAAGTGTCTTCAAAAATGAAACATTACTGGAATATTTGCTTAGCTCTGCAGTTAACAAGTTTCTGTAGCCTTGGAAGGAAGGAATTATGAAGTAGAAATTGCGTCGAGTTAAGAGAAGTGTGTGCAGTTTTGCATCTAGTCCAGAGTTAATCAACTTGTACTTTGATTCATATATTGTGAGCCTAAAACTTGTTAACCCAAAAGGATCCTGCAATTTTCCTAAGGCAGCATCACAGCTCTGGTGATTGGGTATTTCCAGTTTCTGAACTATCACCCATTTTGCACAACCCGTGAACCGACTTTTGAGCCTCTAAGGCTCAAATTTGTAAAAAGACGGGCTTACAGCCTCTTGTGTGTTTTTTACTTGTGGACTCTTGCAGTTTGGTGAGGGGTTTGCTTATTTCCAGGTTCCTATTTGCATAGATAGCACATTCCAGAAAACTGCAGCTGTAGCAAGCACTTCTCCCTCCCCAGCTTCATGTCGGAAAGCTCAGCAAGCATCAGGCTTACTTTGGAGGAGGAGAGTCAAAAGTATATGACTACTCAAAGCTACTTGTAAGCATGGAAGACCTCACATTCTGACATGTCAAAAATGCCCACAGCAGAGAAGGATTTCTTCATTGCAACAATATCATCCTTTTTGTTGAAGCAGAAGCTTTTGACTGCATTTTGGGGAGAAACAAAGTTTATATCTTTCATCACCCCTCTTCCTCCCCCAAATTGAGGTCTTCCATGTTTGATGGTAAGTCTTGCACTATTATCATACACTTTCTGGGGCACACTTCTCAGTTTCCTTTTTTATTTTGTACAATTGGTATGTGTTTGTGTTGAGCTGTTTCATTTCCAAGTGACACCTGGAAGAGTGTCGTACTTGAAAGCCTTGCCCCCAACCATGAGCTTGGCGAAGCTGGAAGCTGCCTTGAAACTGCCATTCTCGGTCAGCAGTTCTGCTGATGGGTATTTGTGTCCCTGGACTTTTGAGTGCTATTTTATTGCCATGCCGCCTCCTATGAATGCAGTTAAGGCAAAGAGCACTGGTAGAATCATCAGGAAAAGTCTGTAACTGAGAGTTAAAGGAGCTGTGGAGCCATTCAGCATTCCGGCTTGTTTCTCTAAACGCCATGAAATGACAATATTGGAAGCATATACAGAAGTTTACACGGTGACTGTTCACCTACTGTACTGTGGACTCATAGTGTTTTTGTCCTCTTTTCAATAAATGTACTTCTAGAAGAAAAAGCAGCAGAATTCCTTGACCATTACTGTTAAACTGCTGATTTGTTGAGGTGGGTTTTATTGCAGTTACACCCCCACTGCAACAAACTTAGCTTTAATAACCATCTTGGCTTTAGTAGGTATGCAAGACAGTGGACTGCCATCTTCATTGCTGTGATGTGTTAAGCATTATATGCTAGTAGAATCTAGTTTAATTGTTGCAGGTGAAAAGTATTCTTACTTTTAAGTTTCCATTTTTGATGTGTTTTGACTAAACATACCAATAAACTACTGATGTCTGCAGCATTCACTAATGGTTCTGAAATCTCTCTCTCTCTCATTGGGGTACAGGCTTGTGTGCTGGTGTGACAGTGTTCTACATTAAAAGGTAATTGTAGGGAGGGGGTGTGGTTGTGTGGCAGAGCATCTGATTTGTGTGTAGAAGGTTCAGTCCCTGATTTGTGTGTAGAAGGTTCAGTCTCCACTTTAGCAGGGGTTATGAAAGGCCTCTGCCTGAGCAAATCATGCTGATCTTGATAGGCCCTTTAGTTGTATTAGTGAGACTTCTAATATCTCTTTGTAAATGCTGCATTGGTACTGCGGGCATTAAGCTTCGTATTATGAGAAATGACTTAGTTTTTTGAGAAAATATGTCAGCAAAATCAACCCAAATGACCCCAGTACTTCTTATCCAGCACGGCTACATAATCAGTTTGCCCCCGCTTTTGTGCTAGATAAAGGCACCAGGGTCAACTGAAATAGATCTCTTACTGATTTACTAAAGATTTATTGTGATATTATTATTTATTACGTTAACAGACTGCCCTTCCCTGAAGGGCTCAGGGCAGTGAACAACAGGTTAAAATATACAATAAATAAATTACAAACTACCAATAAAATCAATAACATTAAGTGATGATTTAAAGTGCAGTCTGCTTCCTCCCCCGGACGGATCAGTTGTGGAGGAGGCCACAGTGGGAGCCATAAGGACGCAGGCCGTTTTTATGAGCCTTGCTTCCAAGGAAGGGCAGCCTAAAAATCTAAATAACTTTTTATGAACTACATCAGATGTGTCCTATGTTGGTACATCTGAACTACATCAGATGTGTCCTATGTTGGTATGTGTGCAAAGTACAAAATTGGACACATGGTTTGGATCAGGGTCATCGGGGGGGGGGGTAGGTCCAAAGGCCCATGGTGGCTCTCAGCAGCCCTGCCCTTCCGTTGCAGCCTCCTCCCTCTCCCTCTGTTGGTTTTTTTCCTATTCCTTCTTGTTTTCTTTCATTGCACTAAAGCCCTCATACTGTCACTCCATCTGCAACATGAATCTAAGACATGGAAAGACATGAGTTGTGGTGGTGGCAATTTGGAAATCCCCCCCCCCCGGATTATCTAAAGTCAGATTGTCCTTAAGCCCAACAAAACCCCTTCTCCTTCTGCTCCACAGTCTTTCCCCTTTGGAAGCATTTCCAGCTCCCCATCTGGCTGTGTGGTAAGGTTTTCCTCTGATTAATTTACAAGGCCATTTTTCTTGGAACCTGGGGCCTCCCCGAGCAGGTGACGGGGTGGCTCCCTCGTCTTCCGCGCTGCTCTCCTCACCTGCACGGGAGCTGGCCAGCTGATTCTTAAACAAGGAGATGTGCACTTTCATGCTCAGGTTCCAGAACACAAGAAGTATTTTCCATCCCTGTCAAAAAAATAATGGGAGGCAAATACAATCAAGTATTTATTTAAAAGTTCCGTTCGTTTCTACAAAGAATAAAATGGCAATAACTAAAATAACATAACTTTTTGATTTCCAAATAGCAAAACATTATATATAGGAGAAATATTACTTCAAGTTTTTTATTTTAAAATAACCAGTGTAATTTACTAAGCAAATAGGTGTGTATTGAAGTGTGGAGCTTTTTGTCATTTTTAAGCGTTGTTTTGTTTTCAAACTGTGCTGTAGAGTCCTGGAAAATCGTTGCAAATTGATCTACAAGAATATGAGTACTGACAACATCAGCCAGTCTGTCCCTGCACTTGGCAGCTGGAGAAGATGACTGGGCCTGCAGTGCGATGTGGCTGCGAAGAAAGCTAATGCAATCTTGGGATGCATTAACAGAAGCATTGTGTCCAGATCACGGGAGGTGGTAGTTCCACTCTATTCTGCTATGGTCAGGCCTCACCTGGAGTACTGTGTCCAGTTTTGGGCACCACATGTTAGGAAGGATGTTGACAAGCTCGAGCAGAAGAGGGCAACCGGGATGGCTGAAAGGGTTGGAATCCAAGTCTTACGAGGAAAGGCTGAAAGAGTTGGTTATGTTTAGCCTGGGAAAGAGAAGGCTTAGAGGGGACAGGATTGCAGTCTTCAAATATTTTCAGGTAGAAGATGGAGCAGATCTATTCTCTCTTGCTCTGGATTGCAAGACTAGATCTAATGGGTGGAAATTACAAGGGAGTCGTTACCGGCAAAATATCAGGAGAAACTTCCTGACTGTCGGAGTGGTTGAGCAGTGGAACAGTTTGCCTCGGGAGGTGTTGGATGCTCCTTCGCTGGACGTTTTCAAGCAGAGGCTGGACGACCATCTTTCAGGTATGTTGTAGGGCTATCTTTCGGCTATGCTCCTGTAGAGTGTAGGGAGTTGGACTGGATGACCTGCAAGATCCCTTCCACCTATACTGCATGTATGGGGAGATATCAATATGCTCTTTGGAGCAGTAGTCTGAATTTTTTGCAGCCCTCCCTGAGGACCTTCATCACCAAGTTAGGTGAATTCAAAAAGAAGACATACTTTTAGCTAAGCATCAGCTTAACACTGCTAAACACACCCTGGATGTGGTGGCCAAGACTCTCACCTCAGCAGTCACCCTTAGGTGCCATGCTTGGTTATGCTTCACAGCTCTGCAGCAGGATACCAAATCCTTTGTTGAGGACCTTCCTTTTGAGGGTGAAGGCCTTTTCTGTTCCACGATGGATACTGTCTTGCAAGACCTCAACAAGAGTATCAAAACGTCACATAATTTAGGAGTCTCTCCAGCCCCTAAGCACAGCAGGGCAAAATCCTGGTCTCACAGATCCTCACTCAAGTCTTCCCCAGAGACACAGTGGCAAAGATCTCAAAATGTCTCTTCACATCCTTATGGAAACAAACCTAAGTTTTCATTGCCCACTCAGTCTAGGGCTAAGGCCCCTAGGGTCTCTAAACGGAGCCTTTGACTCCGGTCATCTACACGTGCCTCCCACCCACCTGTCCCCTTACCTCCCTGCCTGGAATTGGATAACTTCAGATCAGTGGGTTCTTTGGGTCATCAAGGAAGGATACCTTATTGAGTTTATCCAAGCTCCAACAACCTCCAACTTCGTGCTCACTCAACCGTCCAGCACACTCCTGGAAGGAATTCAAAACCTTCTCCAAAAAGATGCTATAGAACCGGTCCCTACATCCCAGCATTACCAGGGGTTTTGTTCCCGTTATTTTACAGTCCGCAAGAGGGACGGAAGCCTCCGTCCCATTATGGACCTAAGAAACCTCAATCGGTTCATAGTTTACAAGAAATTCCGTATGACAACTCTGCAGAACATCCTCCCACTTCTCGAACAAGGT